AGACGTTGGCAATAATCTCCCTTGCCCTGCTGGCCAACCTAGGATGTAGACCTGAATATGATATCAAAAGTAGAAGTCTAATTTGGAAATTAATTTTAATGCAATGAAAAATGAGACGTTTTGAGAGAAAGATAACCTATACGTAACTTCAAAACCACAAACTTTGCCTCTCAAATAGAAATATTACATGTTTTCAATTAAGGTAGTCTAAAGAAAGAGATCATTAGTTTTCATTAAAAAGTAGATCAATCTACACTCCTTTAAAAATCTACTAATTTAATAATGTTAGCAGATGTTGAACTTCATAGGTGAGCAAGTCATTTAAGTAGATCTTGTACAAATGTAAGAACAAAGGGCAGACCGCTTGTAAGAGAAGTGCTAGGAATAGGAGAACAGCTGAAGGCAAAACCAAAGGAAAAATTCAAAAAAGAGTAAAGTAAAATGAAATATAAAAAGCATTTTAAAAGCAAATGAATTTATATGAGAAAAACATAAGGCACTGCATTTGGGAAAAAAAAAAAAATCTGCTATTTTTAATTTTCCCATAAATAAGAACTTTGTTCTGCAATGAATAGTAGTTTATATATAACTCCAGCAAATTGAAAAGAAAAATCACAAATTTAAGATTCAGGATCATGGCAAGAGAAAGCCCTTATAGATGCATACTAAAATATCAATAAAAAGTCTGAGTCCATACTGAGTCATAGCACAAATGAATTGCAATTTAAATAAAGTAAAATTTGCAGAGGCACAAAATTTTTCATGGTTTCATTCAGGTCAATGCTGATCACCTGACTTTTATCAGTTTAAATGTAAAAAACCAAATAGCAAGGCACACAACTTTCATAAAGTTTAATCACGTATACAATGAGAAGCGTTTAGGAGCACTAAAGACTCCTAAAATTGGCTATTAAATGTTAACATATCACTTTCCATATTTAACCATACATTTGTGGCTAGATAGAATTCTCTAAATTATTCTATTTTTTAAAAAGCAGTGATTAAATAATACTTGTGTTCTCAATCCTTGGAAGTCAAAGACATATTGTTCTGAATTTGTCACTCCCAAAACAAATAATTTAACTTGCATTGAAAATTGCACAGTACAAAAACTTAATTTCCACACTATACGAATTATCATTTCCCTTGATTTACAAAATCACATTGTTACTACTACTTAATCTGACTGGTGCCATATATGCTCACTTCCAGTTACATGATCTCTGATGCATTTTGCTGGAAAAAAAAGTATTTATCTGCCTCCCTAGATCAACCCTTGTCACTTATTTTTTCCCAAAACAATACCACAACTTACACAAGATTATTATTTTTCAGATGCACACATGTGGTTGTTATATAGCTGAGTAAATTGCTAATTCCCAGTGCTAACCAAACATTTTAGATTATAACACAGTCACAGCAAATCACGGAACACATTTCCTCTGCAGACATTTGAAATTATACAAGGGCTTAAAGCATTTGAATGCTTAAAATCGTCTGAATAAGTACAACACGTTCTTTGGTAGTTAAAATGCAACAAACTGAAACACGCTATATTCCCTCTGCATTTGTTCTTTACAAGTCAATATTTAAGTACTAACATAATTTCCCATATTGAAATATAAAATAATTCGGTTTTGTCAAATTATTTTTCTTCTCCTGAAGGTTTTATTTTTACTACATTGCTTGAACAGATACTGAATAATAACTACATAAGAACCCTGAAATAAATGTGAAGTTATAAGAGTATCTGATAATCTAATTTCAGAATATTATTGAATGACCAAAGAAATACAAGGAGAATTTTTTCTTAAAGGAAATAAAAAGCGTGAGTTCAAATCAGTGCAAACAGTGGAATGCATAAAACAGATTTTGAAGAAAAGAGACTCTGGGACCCAGTTAATGTCTTTATGCCCAATCTTTTTTTATTGTTTCTGTTCGTGCTTTGTTTCCAGGCTCCATCAATTCTTTCTTCCACTGTTTGTTGGCTTATCTGCATATCAGATCAGTATCACCTACATTAATTCAAGTGCTACATATTTTTAATGCCTCACCTCAAGGATATTGGATCTGTCACTCCCTTTGAATCATAATTATTAATATTAATGGACTAAGATCTAACGTTCTTCTTCAAAAAGCACTTTCAAGCACTCCATTTTTCTATGATTTTCTTACGGTATATAAAGAAATGATGATACATTCACCTTCAGAACTATACTTCTGTCACTGGAAAAATTTACTCCATTTCATTTCTACTGTAGCCATACACAAAATATACACGCAGAGCTCACCCCTAAACTTCTTAAATAATTCCACTCTGTGCAGGTATGAATACTAAGCTTTTTTCCAGAGATAAGCAATCCCTCATTTGCTTTTACTTCCACAGCATATTCTAGCTGTCTTGCAAATTCTCTCAGGGCGCAATTTGTCGACCTTCTTTTGGGAATCACCTCTTTGCTTGGTCTATTTATTTGCTTATGTTTATGGTTGTTAAGCCAGTACATTGTCACATGGCCTTTCACTCTTACTGAATGTACAAAAATTCAGCCAATTCTAGCAATTTTAATTTTCTCCCTTAGCTTTTGATTTCCAAACACCACTTCAAACTGACTTCAAATTAGGCACTCCATGAGTCTTCAAAAAATCCATACTGGACTGCATTCCAGCTGTTCTAACTAACAAAGAAGCACAGTAGGCTGGCCCTAGCTAATAAGCAAGCTCCCAGTCAGCACTTGCTCATCCTCCATATCAAAGAGAGAGAAAAAGAAAAGGGAAGTAACATGAATGAAAAAATTTGCAGGTAAAGACTGCCTCCTTACTACCATTATGGGAAAATTAGACTTTATCTACTGGAAAACTAGCTTAATTTATAACCAATTAAAGTAAAAAAAAAATAATTAGTAACTTAGGTTGTAGGAAACACAAAGATGAACTTTATTAAAACAACAACTTCCTTCTGCACTTTCCCAGGCTCAACTTCATTTCCAAGTGGTTCCCTAGTGCACTCCCTACTGGAATATTTTCTGTGGTTTTTTGCTTTTTTTTTTTTTTTTTTTTTTAAAAAAAAATTTCATATTCAAGATGTTTGTATCAAGCTTTGAAAACACTTGCTCTTTTCATGTTTGCAAAAACATTCAGTAGAACGTTTCAAACCAAAACGAAGTTGTTACATTCATCATTTCCATTCATTTCCCTTTTATTTCTCCCTATATAGGTATTACGTGTTCCTATTTCTACAGCTCACTGCATGTATTCTAATTACAAGTGGTGAGCAAAGAACTCCAAAATCATTATTTATGACCATCACAAATATTTACGGAATGCTAAAAAATTCTGCAGAAAAGAAACTGCTGAGTAAGGGTAAGACACATTTGAATATCAGCCACAGAACTGCAGGGGTTGGAAGGGACCTCAAGAGATTGAAACCAATCCACCTGCTAAAGCAGGTTCCCTTCAACCTCAGATGCCCTAACCTTCAGTTAGGCATCCAGACAGGTATTGAATATCTCCGTAGGAAGAGACTCCACAACCTCTCTCTGGGCAACCTCCTCCAGGGCTCCATCATCCTTACCATAAAGAAGTTCTTCTGCATATTTGTATGGAACTTCCTATGTTCAAGTTTTAGGCCATTAAACATTGTCCTATCGCTGCATACCACTGAAAAGAGCCTGGTCCCACCTTTTTGCTCCCAGCCTCCCTTTAGATATTTATAAACATTGATCCAATCCCCTCAGTCTTTTCCTCAATCTGAACAGACTCAGCTTACTCAGTCTTTCCTCATACAGGAGATGCGCTACACCCCTTACTACCTTTGTGGCCTTTCATTGGAATCCTAGGATCCTCCACGCTTCGTTAATGCACTTCGGGATACCATCTAACTATGATTATACTTATTAAAATAATTAAACTAATGAGTATATAAAAGGAATTTTTCAGAGCACGCTGGTATCCTAAGCCTCTGCAATGGCTAAACACTACCGCTCAAGTGAGCTGAGTTTTGAAACCACCCCTTATTTTATAAAGCATTACTCCACAGGAGTTAAATTTATGAACAAATCTGATATAAAACCAGCAAGTAAAACAAAATGAAGGTTACATGTTAGTACAAATGCCACCTTAGAAATAAAAGCATTCACTAAAAAAAAAAAAAAAAAAAATGAAATATTTGATTGTGATGATACTCTACACATAGAAGTGCTGCATTGAACTCAGACACATACTAGTCCGAGCAAGTGTAACCCTATGTTGGTCCACATTTTGTAATTCTTGTACTATAAGATGATGGCCAAAGCAAATTGAACATACAAGGAAATAAAACTCAGCTGAAAACTTGTTTTGAGAGCTCTACCATAAAATCTGTTTTTCGTTTCATTTTTTTCCCTCCATATTTGGAGGTCATGGCAAAGTTAGGTAGCAGATACTTTCCTAACAATATATTTAGAAGTTGTACTGACATTCAGTGGAAATTCCTTCAGTCTGCTGGATATACAGAGGAATGATCAAAACAACCAATTTTGCAGTAGGAGTTGTACTAAGGTAAAAGTATATTTTCATTCAAATATGAGAAGATAATATTACAAAAGTGATCTATTTACACTTTGTTACAATGAACTGTGCTTTATTACAATGACCTACTTGTGCTAAAAAATAATTAATTCCTTAAAACATTAACTTCTCCTAAATATTTGAAGCCTATATAGTGCTGAATGTACAATACCAAGTTGCAGTTTTGTCTTCATACATTTATGCTGTCGTACCTACTACCTTTAAACATTTGGTCAGTGAAATGTTTTCATTATTTTTAACACCAAGAGTTTTGCAAACAATTTCAAAGAAAAACAGAGTTTGGTAGGCATTTTATTGCTATTATTTTGTTTTGTTTTCCTTATATACAGCCATATGACTGAAAACATATTGAGTAGGAATCAGTTAAACATCAGTTCTCAGTTCTTTGAGCAAAGGTTTTGTAACGAACTGTTAAATAGAACTCTTTTACTTACACTGATATCTTCCAAATCTAAGTTATTCAGAATGACATTGTTCCTCTTCCAGATGATGGGAGGTCTCAGAACACCTTGGATGGCACAACTTAAGACAGCACTTTGTCCTACTGTTGCTGCAGTAGTGCTTATTTTTTGATCTTCTGGCAAACTCAGCTGAACTACCTCTGCAAAAGATATATTGTTTGTAAGGTTAATTTGCTAGCAGTTTCATAAGGTTAATTAGTATGCAGCTGATAATTTATAAATAATTTTAATTGGAATCAAAGAAAAAAGACTTTCCAAAAACCACAGGAAGTTCAGAGCATTTCAAATAAAGGTCACCATGGCATTTCAATTAAATTGACTGACAAGCATGATTCCATAAAGAGAAGCATTTAATATGAAAATGAATTTGAGAGGTAAGACTACAGCAAACATAACAGAACGTATCTACAATCAGACTCCAGAAGTTATTTAACAGTTAGACCAATGCAGTACAGTAGCCAGCATCTTCATTTAACTAATGTGACAATACTGCTGTTAAGAGTCATTCATTTCCAGAAAAGAAAAATATTAATGGAACACAGTGTGCAAAAGATACAAGACTGAAGTGGGAATAGACAAATGTGAAGTCTGCTTTCAGAACATAAAATTAAGGTATGAGCTTTCTTTTCTGATATACCAGTTTTTATGGAGGATTTCCATTGACTGTGAAAGCACAAGTTCCTGATAAAACTGATGTTAGTATTCTCTTCCATATGAGTCACAGAATACTCATTAATCATAGTCAAAACACGTTCGTTTACGTCAGTTCTAAAAAACAGCGTAAAAAGAATTTGCACTATGCTTCTCTGGTCAAACATGATTTCTTTTACAATAGCTAGAGAAACCCAGAGCCAGAAAAACAGCTGTGTGCTTGAATAAATTTTTCCTAAGTACAGAGAGAAGAAAAAAATAATGAACCAAAAACCAGAGCATTTCACAGCATCTATTCTGTAACTGTTGTGTCTGCCAAGTAGCAGCAGCAACAATGAAGATGGAATACAGCAACAGCCAGGAGTAAAGAATATAACATCATGTAATGCTTGACAAACATGAATTAAATACAGTACTTCTATTGAAGCATGAGTCATCTCAAGCCACAAATACTCAACATCTACTTTTAACATTTCCAGTTCACCACGCATTAAAAACTGCTAGTGTTAACAAGCTATTTCACAATATCAGGTAAGCCACTTTTGATTTATTTAAAAGAAAGACTCTTGACTTTGATGTCCCATAACACATTTGGACTCTTACATAAAAAAAGAGCGACATTAATCTTCCCATTATAGCAAAGCAACAACCTATGAGCAAGCTAAGATTATTGGTGCCTGTTAGCTTCACAAAAGAAACAATTTTTAATTAACACAATTTAAAAGATTGTTCAGTGTAAAACTTTTTTTCTTCCTTTCCAAATTGCAAAAAGAAAGGCATTTCAATAGCTTCAGGAAAGAAAAATGCATTGTTTCAGAAGAACAATTTTTATGCGTTTAAAAATATTTGTTTTCTATTTAGAGAAAATTCAAAAACGCCCTTTTTCTCTCTTCCAATAGGAACATAATGCTGTCCACCATTCAATATGACTGACATTTTTTTTCCCCTAAATGCATGACCTGATGCAATTTGTTAAACCACTGAAAAGAGAATATATAAATTAAGTTAAATATTGAGCTATCTACTGTTGTTTTAAAAATGTATTTCAGTCATCTGTAGCATTTCAGCTTGTGTGTCATAGGACATGGTTCTTCAGTGACACTGCTATCCAGACTTCTTGAAACACACCTGAATGACTACTGAATGATTCAAAACTTCTGATAGACAGCAACAGCATACTAATATTTTCTTACAGAATTCTGTGTGTATAAACCTTAAAAGGTAGATAAACATGGTGATCTATAACAGTAATTATCTGTGTTTTCCAAAGCCAATACTTAATTTAGCGTAGTCATTAAATGATTACCACAAAATGATTATGAAAAATGCTAACCCTCACATGATAAATGAGTTATCTAATTTAAATTCTACAAAATTTCAAAGTCTGTTTCCAATTAGTTCCAGTATTATTATGGATGCCTTTATACAGAAGTCCAGTTCTTTTTATTCTCATTTTTAATTAGAATGCAACTGTGGATAAGGAGACATGTATTAAATGCAAAGTTCAGCATTTGCTACCTTAGTGAAAATTATATTCCAAAATCAAAATACAAAATGGCATTACTATTTTATGACATTAATAATTCATTTATGGCTCATGTCCACGGACTATTGCAAGCTCTGAGCTTAATGGAAAGTGTATAAAATGCAGCTTAACTTCAAATGAGTGGTCATAGGGCATTAGCTATGGCCTTTTGTTTTACTGTAGTTAACTACAAAGTTTTTGACATTAACAAAGTAGCCCGTAACCAGGAAGGATATGCAAAAGTCACTGCTTTTCAAGAGATACAAAAAGGTTCTCCTTGCCTGTGGCTCAGTTATTACAGATCCTAAAGACCTATAACACCTTAGAGCAATAACTGTATATAAGCTTAGCAAAATTAACACAAACCAGCCCTAAAACTTCCTAGTCTAGATACAACATATGTATAGGCTGATAAATTTCAGGAAGAATTCAAAGAACTAAAGAGAATAAAATAGAATGTAAAATAATCTGAGACTCATAATGCTTGCTATAAGGAATTTTATGAATAGCAGTTTTCATTTTAAAAAATTCTACAACTCTACAGTTGATCAATAGTAAGATAAAAACTAGCAATAAAAAACACTAAATGGAAATATTTTCAGTGAACATCAGGATGAGCTAATTCTTCCACTTAACAGTGGAAAAAAATCAGAAATGCTGCTATTTGGGTGTGTCAAATCTTACTAAGATATTGTGTTTTGTAACATCTGGAATACAACTACACAAAGTGCCTTTTCCCTCTTCTGGCAGTGATCTCACCTTCTTAAAATGAAATAACAAGAGCCTTTTCATCAGTGTCATTTTGCTGTTCTTAAAAGCAACTTTAAATCAGCATGCATCACGATTAGCATGTCTAACTTTGTCAGTTCAAAAATTAAATGATAAAAAGTTTGTCTTTTGGCAAAGCTCGAAATGATCCTGGTATGCTAAGCTGAAGAAAGTATACAGAATTTCACTTTTCAGTAATTAAACTATTGAAAGAAAAAATCATTTTTGCTGTGAACAGATGTTATTTTCTATAAACGTAAATATTATGTTTATAGACGCAAAACATACTTCTTCCAGAAATAAGCATTTTGATTGGCTTTTCAAATTAAAAAATAAATTAAAAAAAAAGGACCAAGAGACCAGAATTAAAGCATTCCAGAGGTCGTATCTCAACAATTCCATCATCCCAGATGATTTATCACAGGGAAAGAATATTTTTCAAGTGCAAATAAGTGAAAAGCCCCTAATTAAAACTTGAAAATAGTATTTTTTCCTGTACAAATGATTTCCATCTAACAATATGTCTGTCCATTCATCACAAAAATAACGTAGTACAGAGCTCACTTAGAACAGGGTGCTGATGAGCCTGAATTCCTACTCATGTTGCAAGAGTGTTCACAGTGATCAGCTCAGATCAATCCACATCATAGAATCATAGAATCACCAGGGTTGGAAAGACCTCAGATCAGCCAGTCCAACTGCTCAGTTGTCACCAGTGTTTCTCACTTAAACCACATCCCCCTGTACAACTTCTAAATATTTCTTGAACACCTCCAGGGACAGTGACTCCACCACATCCCTGGGCAGCCCATTCTCTATCTGTGCGATAGAATTATAACAATATAATTAATGCTGTATTAATTATTTATTATACAACTTAAGGAAAATGTAGTGCACCACTTCATAATCAATATGTTAATATTTATAAATCTCAAAGATCTATTAAAAACATCAAAAGACCTGCTTTCATAGTTCTATTAGCCACACATGCACAAGCATAAATAACTGAGTCACTGCTATTTAACGCAGCAGCAGAGCTTCTATCAAAATTCAAGATGTTTTCTTTCCAGCTTTAAGGCTAGAATAGCAGAGATTTCTATTTCTCAACTTTCAAAATTCCATTATTTCTTCAAAAAGAAAGGATCTTAAGATATTTCTTTAAATTAATATTTATTCAACTTTTCCTTTTTTAACAAGGAAGATGAAAATATTTTTAAATGTAAATTAAAAGTAATATTATAACAGCTTATAATTGTAGGAAGTCCCATAGAAACTAATTCCATGAAGAAAATTAATAGAAACCGTAACAGAAAAGAAGCAAAGGCTTCAACAAAATAAAAAAAAAGCTTCAAAAGCTGTTTTATTTTTGATACTGGTCAGTAAGATTTAATAGAGAACAACTGATAGGTTGTGCTACATTTATTTCATGGAAGAAATTAAAGCATATCTTCAAGATAAATACATGTCATTCATTATTCAAATACCTAGAAACATTAAGAATGTTTCAAAATTTCAGAATTTAGAATGAAGTAAAATATTTCACCTGATTGCCTAGCTTAATGAACTCAGCATGTATATATATACACACACACACATATATATACACACACACATATCTATCTATATATATATATATATACACACACACACATATCTATATATATATACACATATATACAGACACACTTTTTTTTCCTTGTTTGGTATCAACACCAGATCTTCCTGGAACAGAATTAGAATATACATATTGAAAAATAAACACAATATTAAATAGGATGAACTAAAAAATGAATGCAACAGAAAGCATTCTAGTTTCTTCATAGGTTGTTTTCATCACAATTGAAACAGTAACGTCACGTATAAACATTTGGTAAATTAAAAATAACAGATATATGACACCTTTTATAGCATATATTAAAAATGAAAAGTAAATTAAATGATGAAAAGTAAATTAAATGACCAAATACAGGATCTTAGCTTAACTACTTGTACCATTAAAATGGTTGTGTCCTATAGTTTGAATGCAACTTTTTTCATCTGTCACCTATTCATTCTTAATGCCACTGCACTCTTCATGAAGAATCCTCTAAGTACATACACCTTAAATCCCCTTCTTTGTGATTAAGTTTATCAGATTGAAACCTGAATATTTAAGATATTTTCTTAAATAATGTCTATTTTAACACTCCTTCCCTC